GATTATATCAAATTGATATAAAAAAAATTCACATTCATATCATTTAGGGTACGTGGAAACAATTGAAGATTTCTATATCTGTGAAGCCTCACTAACAAATAATTACTGTATATAACTAAAAGGTTACATGTAAAAAATGAAACTTTCTGAAGTCTGGAATGTAATGAGAAGGTTCTAAAATTGAGAGAAGCTACGTGTTGAGAACAAATGACTCAAAAGCAACGTGGCAGATGCTGATAACCTAAGGTGTGATTTGCCCTAACTCACCACCGCCTAACCGCTCAGTATATGAAAGACAACCTCAAACTCACACACACTCACAAATCAGCATTGGTTCTCTTCCAAATGGCACACCAACAACCCAACAGAGAGGAATCCGGTACCGATCAGAGAGACTATGACGTGCGTCACAACAACCCTAATATTTGCAAGAACAACGACGAGTGGGATCGGTGGAGAGACGAGTTCGGAAGCAGAACGGCAATGGACTCAGTGGCCAACTACGCTTATGGAAACATAGGGAATGCTGGTTATGGGGCCCCACCTACGGGTGGACCCTACAGTGGCCCCAACTACGGAGCCTCCGGATTTGAATACAGCACTGCGTATTCCACCACTGGCACACCTCCTGCACGCCAAGGAAATGCAGATGGTGGTGCTGACAGCGGAAGGAACATGACCAACATCAACAGGAACATGGACATGGACAACAAGAAATGAACCTAACTAATGACTCGTTCCTTGTACTTTATATGTGTTGTTGTTACTTTAGTGTCCTTTTGTAAGTCTGGTGCTTAGTTTGTTGGTGACTGAAAATAATATGCATGCGATGATGATGCGAGGGTCTCGTGAGATGAGATGAGAATACTATAAACTATAATATAATATGTTGTTCTAGTTTGTGAGAAGGAAGAGTCTCTTTTTTCTTTTATACCTAAGTATGAGAAATAAAGTTATGTCTTTAACTTGTAGATCTTTTTCTTAGTATAAAATTATTTTAAACAAATCTAAAAGTGTATAAAATGTGTAAATCAAATGCATCATACTTAAGTTTATTCATACTTCCAAACTAAATAATAAAAGTTCAAATTTATTAATGAATGATTTAAAATTACAAAATGAATTATATATGAGAAATCAATATGAATTGAATTATTGTTCATGGTTGAAATCTGAACAAGTCTTTTTTTATTCAAGTAAAAACAATAAACTGCTACAACTACATATTCACAGATCAATCAAGATGAGCAAAATTCAAAATAGTTAGCTATCAAAACGCCAAAATTATAATATTGTAGCTCACAAATAATCAATTGATCTATTATTTCTCATACTGAATAATTAGGTCATTGGACCTTATAATTACTAATAAGCTACTATTATGGAAATAGTAATCAGATGAAAATATTAATCAATTAATTCTAATAAGATGAAAACATTAATCAGTTAATTCTAAATAATTGACTGAATCCACTTATTTATAACATTACAATTAGCTTCTTCATTTATTTCACTAAATATTAACCATGATTAATTACAATATTAGGTTCTTCACTTATTTCACTAAATATTAATCTTGATTAATTACAAGATTCTTCACTTATTTCAATACAAAAATAAAACAAGGTGAGGTTTGTTACAGGGGTTCTAAAAACCTCTTTTAACTGCAGTCAAGTTGTTTTTAAATTTTTTATAAAAGTTTCAGGAGTTTCTTTTACTTTATCAAACTATCGGAATCGTAAAAAAATATTTGTACAATATATACTTTTCAAAATACTTGGTGTCAGACAGATAGTGGAATGTAGATGTCAGCAGATGATGATGAGCGGATGTTCGTGTGGAATGTAGATGTCAGCAGATGAGCGGATTTTGGAAAATTGCGTCACACTCTTTACATGCATCTTCTTCTTCAAAACTCTGATATTTCTCATTTCTCCTCATTCTCACTAAAAGTTCTCCCTTATCTCTACGAAATCTTACCTTTTCCCTTCTCCGATCACCGTTTAGGCACCGTAGAAGCATTTCCGGCGTCAAGAGCTTTAGATTGAACCGAACGGTTTCGAGTTCTAAACTGGTAAGTTCTTCTTGTCCTTAGCCGTTCGTTCTCTGGTACATGCAAACCAAGTTCTGGTTGCATGATGTCGTCTTGTCTAAGCCATTGTTGGTTTTCTGTTGTTTGGTTTAGTTTGAAGAATTCTTGAACGTGAGGGTAGAAGAAATTGTAGTCAGGCGAGCCTTAATTCTGCCTTTAGGACGTTCGTTCATGCTCAAAGGTAAGGGAAGCTTATTTAATTTAATTTGGTATGTGTACTGTAATGCATGAACGCTCGTGATGGATGATTGGAAATGACATGTGATTGTGCTATTTTCTGATATATGAAATGTATGAAAAATTGATTATGATATGAATTGTATAAAGTTATGAAACTATGTGTTAAGAAATGAGTTGAATATGAATGAATTCTGGATATGAAATTTTCCTATGATGGTGTACGTTCGTCACTGAACGGTCCTTGACCGTTCGGTAATACTAGTAACCTTGGTTAAAATTGGATTCTTTCATTTGGAAAGAATCATAGTTGAGAACGAGCGTCTTCGTGTGGTAATACTATGCTTGAGCGTTCGGCCAAGTGTAGTTGTATCTGAGTAGCCTGTGATAAACTTAAATTTGTAAATATATGTATTTGTATATTTTAGTTATTCTTAAACACTATTCTAATAGTATTTTATTATATTTATTAAGCTTTCTATTTATAAGTTTAGTAGTGTTCGGTCTCACACCAAGCGCTCGTAATGAGTAGTGCTCGGTCTTATACCAAGCGCCAATATTCGTTTCTTGTATGATCTATCTTGATGAAAATAGCGTTCGTCCAACTTCAATAGAATTTTCTCTACCGTGTTCGGTCATTAACTGACATTCGGTTTCTAAATGTGAATCCTTCTAAGTATTTTCCTCTGAAGGTCTTAAAGTGTATATATCCATTTGGTTCCGGCTTAGAACCTTAGTATTTGGCATGATTCTTTCGGTGTTCGGTTAGAACTCTCAAGAGTCAGTTCATTTAATTGGGTCACTTTGTAAGTAACGTTCGTTCTAGTCGTTCCAGTGATATATGATTATGCTCGGTTTCTTTCTCAAACCAATAGCGACCTCTCAGTCTTATCCTATTCTAGAACTCGAGACTTCACTATCTCGTTCCCTGCGTTCATCCTAATTCTGAGTGAGGATTGAACGTTCGGTATTAAGTGTCTTTAAAAATCCTTGAACAAAGATGACATTAAGATGATGGATAATGAAAGATGAAGAGAATATGATATGAATGAAATGTATGGATTATGAACGAGCGTTCTGGGAAGGAACGACTCATGAATGAATATTGGAATTTGTAAAGTATGAATGTGGTTATGCTAAGCTGGCGGTTCATCCTGATGTTCCGTGAGTACACGTCCTCACGTAGAGGGGGTAGGTCATGTGTGGGAACGGCAGGAGGTCCTAGTCCTTAGGGTTACTTTGGACAGATAGGACTAACCTCGGGTGGCAGCTGTTGAGGGTATCCCAGTTACTACATCACCCGGGTGCACGAACGTCGTAGCTACATAGATTTCATACAGTCCGGACAGTCAGTCTAGTATTAGGCTTTGTATGAAATGTATGACGAAATTTATCTTGTGTGTTGATGGTATGAATTGTATGATTATATCTGAATTAAATTACATAAGCTTACCCTGTGTTCCTGTCTTGTTGTGTTTTGTACGTTCGTCTTGTCATTGCAATGATCATCCGTGTGGATGTGAGCAGAAGAAGACGAACTGTTGGAAGATGCGCTAGAAGAAGAGAACCTGATCGAGGTAGAAGTGAAGACCGAAGAGTAGGACGTTCGGTCAGTAGTCTAGTTATTGTAAGGTGGTCGTTCGATCACTTCCCTTTTTGTTATGTATGATCGTTCGGTATTTTATTTTGTAAACCGTTCGGCCAGATTTGCTTATCCTATATAGTTATGGTAATTCTTTTTGTAAGGTCGTTCGAACGTAAGTGTACGTTCGGCTTTTAGTGTAAAGACTGATCTGAATTATTAATTAATGTGATTATTCTATTATATAGTTTTGGACTGTACTTTTGGGATGTTACATTAGTGGTATCAGAGCAGTTTTGTTCCTTAAAGAACACTGTAGGTTATGAGTATACTATGCTTTTGCTGTGTGCTCAACGTTAGTTTGATGAGTATATCAAACTTTCAGAATTTAACTAATGACTATTTTTCTGCTTCTTAGAGAACAAATGACACCAAGACCTCCTCCTCAACCCACCGAGCGTGATACAGTTGATCACAATAGATTATTGGAATCAGTAATAGAAACACTTCAACAGCAGAACGTTGCCTTGGTGCAGTAGAACACGACCACTTTACAGAGTTTGGAAGCCGCACGTGCCAACTCTGAAGCGACCCAAAGACAACTGATGGAGATCATCGCAACCACGAGGAACACATCCGGAGCGTCCACTTCCAACGCTACTCATCAGACCGAGTGGAGCTTAGAGAGTTTCCTCCAGCATCATCCAACTAAGTTCAACGGGAGGTGTCTACTTGATGAGGCCGACCAATGGCTACGGGACATGGAATGGATATACAATGCAAAGGGGTGTCCGGATGACAAGAGGCTGGCCTTTACAGAGTATTTGCTGACTGGAGAGGCTAGTTATTGGTGGACGAGCATGAAGATAATTCTGACGGACACCCAGAGTCCCATCTCATGGGAAGTATTCAGAAGCAAGTTTTACAAGGAATACTTCCCAGATAGCGTTTGTTTTGCAAAGAAGGTGGAGTTTCTTCAGTTAGTGCAAGGGGGATGTCAGTGTCGAAGTACACCAACAAATTCAAACATTTAGTGAGATTTAACACTATGGCGGCCAGTGAAGAATGACAGTGTAGGAAGTTTGAAAATGGGCTGAGGAGTGAGTTTAAGCTGCTGATATCCAGCCTATGTTTAGGTCTTTTCCTACCATGGTTGAGAGAGCAAAAGTATTAGAGAAGAACGTTCAAGAGGTGGAACAACAGAAGCAACAACAAGAGTCAGTAAGAGGACCCATATCTTCTAGGAACAATGCGAATCTGAGAAGGACGCCTTATGCTCGTCCAGCGTTGCCTCCTAATGCTGATGGGTTCCAAGCTCAATCAGTGGTTGCTGCCGGTCGATCTGGACAGCAAGGGTCAGTGAGTTGTTTTCAATGTGGGGGACCCCACTACAAATCATCATGTCCTCAGTTGGTAGGAGGAAAATATTGCACTCGCTGTAGAAGAAATGGTCATCTGGAGAGCGAGTGTAACATGGAAGGACGAGCGGTAATGAAGTCACCGAACGCCGGAAGAGTTCAACAAGGTAGAGGTGGTCGAGCTCAAGCGACTAGTCGAGTATACGCCATAACGGGCGCTGAAGCAGCAAGCTCAGGTACACTTATCACCAGCACTTGCTTGTTGTATGGAATGTCTTGTTGTGTGTTGTATGATTCGGGGGCAACACACTCCTTCATCTCGAAGGCGTGCATTGATAAACTGGGTTTAGCTGAGAGTGAGATGCAATTCGACTTGGTGGTGTCAACCCCAGCGGCTGGTGAGGTTAGGACGTCTACGGTTTGTGTTAGATGTCCTATTAAGGTGGAAGGGCGTAGATATAAGATGAACCTCATCTGTTTACCTCTAAAAGAGTTAGAGGTGATCTTAGGAATGAATTGGTTGGTTGCCAATCGCATTCTCATAGGTTGTGGTGAGAAGAAGTTAGTATTTCCGGTTGAAGAAGAAGAAGAGTTTTCAATAACGCTCGGTCAGTTAAGGGAAGATATCATGGAGGACGCGAGCTGTTATCTGATAATGACACACGCGGATGAGAAGTGTGAAGATTTAAGTCATGAACGATCGCCCAGTAGCAAGCTGAGTGGAGGAAGATCGATTGTGGATGAATTCCCGGACGTCTTTCTGGATGAAGTACCCGAACTACCTCCTCCTCGTGAAATAGAATTCACAATTGATTTGGTGCCGATAGCAGGGCCCATTTCTATTGCACCATATAGGATGTCACCAGCAGAGTTGGGCGAACTCAAGAAACAAATTGAAGACTTAATGGACAGGCAGTTCATTCGGCCAAGTGCATCACCTTGGGGAGCGCCAGTACTTTTAGTGAAGAAGAAGGATGACAGCTTTCGGCTTTGCATTGAGTACAGACAATTAAACAAGCTGACCATCAAGAACAAGTACCCCTTGCCTAGGATTGATGATATGTTGGATCAATTACATGGGGCTACTATATTTTCGAAGATTGATTTGAGGTCTGGGTATCATCAGATTCGGGTTAAGGAAGGGGACATCCAGAAGACGGCCTTCCGGTCTCATTACAGACACTACGAGTATGTAGTGATCCCGTTCGGTGTCACCAATGCACCAGCGATATTCATGGACTACATGAATCGCATCTTTAGGCCGTTTTTGGACAAATTCGTAGTCGTTTTCATTGATGATATCCTCATCTACTCCAAGAATTGTGAAGAGCATGANTATGTATGATCGTTCGGTATTTTATTTTGTAAACCGTTCGGCCAGATTTGCTTATCCTATATAGTTATGGTAATTCTTTTTGTAAGGTCGTTCGAACGTAAGTGTACGTTCGGCTTTTAGTGTAAAGACTGATCTGAATTATTAATTAATGTGATTATTCTATTATATAGTTTTGGACTGTACTTTTGGGATGTTACATTAGTGGTATCAGAGCAGTTTTGTTCCTTAAAGAACACTGTAGGTTATGAGTATACTATGCTTTTGCTGTGTGCTCAACGTTAGTTTGATGAGTATATCAAACTTTCAGAATTTAACTAATGACTATTTTTCTGCTTCTTAGAGAACAAATGACACCAAGACCTCCTCCTCAACCCACCGAGCGTGATACAGTTGATCACAATAGATTATTGGAATCAGTAATAGAAACACTTCAACAGCAGAACGTTGCCTTGGTGCAGTAGAACACGACCACTTTACAGAGTTTGGAAGCCGCACGTGCCAACTCTGAAGCGACCCAAAGACAACTGATGGAGATCATCGCAACCACGAGGAACACATCCGGAGCGTCCACTTCCAACGCTACTCATCAGACCGAGTGGAGCTTAGAGAGTTTCCTCCAGCATCATCCAACTAAGTTCAACGGGAGGTGTCTACTTGATGAGGCCGACCAATGGCTACGGGACATGGAATGGATATACAATGCAAAGGGGTGTCCGGATGACAAGAGGCTGGCCTTTACAGAGTATTTGCTGACTGGAGAGGCTAGTTATTGGTGGACGAGCATGAAGATAATTCTGACGGACACCCAGAGTCCCATCTCATGGGAAGTATTCAGAAGCAAGTTTTACAAGGAATACTTCCCAGATAGCGTTTGTTTTGCAAAGAAGGTGGAGTTTCTTCAGTTAGTGCAAGGGGGATGTCAGTGTCGAAGTACACCAACAAATTCAAACATTTAGTGAGATTTAACACTATGGCGGCCAGTGAAGAATGACAGTGTAGGAAGTTTGAAAATGGGCTGAGGAGTGAGTTTAAGCTGCTGATATCCAGCCTATGTTTAGGTCTTTTCCTACCATGGTTGAGAGAGCAAAAGTATTAGAGAAGAACGTTCAAGAGGTGGAACAACAGAAGCAACAACAAGAGTCAGTAAGAGGACCCATATCTTCTAGGAACAATGCGAATCTGAGAAGGACGCCTTAAGCTCGTCCAGCGTTGCCTCCTAATGCTGATGGGTTCCAAGCTCAATCAGTGGTTGCTGCCGGTCGATCTGGACAGCAAGGGTCAGTGAGTTGTTTTCAATGTGGGGGACCCCACTACAAATCATCATGTCCTCAGTTGGTAGGAGGAAAATATTGCACTCGCTGTAGAAGAAATGGTCATCTGGAGAGCGAGTGTAACATGGAAGGACGAGCGGTAATGAAGTCACCGAACGCCGGAAGAGTTCAACAAGGTAGAGGTGGTCGAGCTCAAGCGACTAGTCGAGTATACGCCATAACGGGCGCTGAAGCAGCAAGCTCAGGTACACTTATCACCAGCACTTGCTTGTTGTATGGAATGTCTTGTTGTGTGTTGTATGATTCGGGGGCAACACACTCCTTCATCTCGAAGGCGTGCATTGATAAACTGGGTTTAGCTGAGAGTGAGATGCAATTCGACTTGGTGGTGTCAACCCCAGCGGCTGGTGAGGTTAGGACGTCTACGGTTTGTGTTAGATGTCCTATTAAGGTGGAAGGGCGTAGATATAAGATGAACCTCATCTGTTTACCTCTAAAAGAGTTAGAGGTGATCTTAGGAATGAATTGGTTGGTTGCCAATCGCATTCTCATAGGTTGTGGTGAGAAGAAGTTAGTATTTCCGGTTGAAGAAGAAGAAGAGTTTTCAATAACGCTCGGTCAGTTAAGGGAAGATATCATGGAGGACGCGAGCTGTTATCTGATAATGACACACGCGGATGAGAAGTGTGAAGATTTAAGTCATGAACGATCGCCCAGTAGCAAGCTGAGTGGAGGAAGATCGATTGTGGATGAATTCCCGGACGTCTTTCTGGATGAAGTACCCGAACTACCTCCTCCTCGTGAAATAGAATTCACAATTGATTTGGTGCCGATAGCAGGGCCCATTTCTATTGCACCATATAGGATGTCACCAGCAGAGTTGGGCGAACTCAAGAAACAAATTGAAGACTTAATGGACAGGCAGTTCATTCGGCCAAGTGCATCACCTTGGGGAGCGCCAGTACTTTTAGTGAAGAAGAAGGATGACAGCTTTCGGCTTTGCATTGAGTACAGACAATTAAACAAGCTGACCATCAAGAACAAGTACCCCTTGCCTAGGATTGATGATATGTTGGATCAATTACATGGGGCTACTATATTTTCGAAGATTGATTTGAGGTCTGGGTATCATCAGATTCGGGTTAAGGAAGGGGACATCCAGAAGACGGCCTTCCGGTCTCATTACAGACACTACGAGTATGTAGTGATCCCGTTCGGTGTCACCAATGCACCAGCGATATTCATGGACTACATGAATCGCATCTTTAGGCCGTTTTTGGACAAATTCGTAGTCGTTTTCATTGATGATATCCTCATCTACTCCAAGAATTGTGAAGAGCATGAGGAACACTTGAGGATAGTGCTTAGTGTATTAAGAGAAAAGAAGTTGTACGCTAAGCTAAGTGTGAGTTTTGGATGAAGGAAGTGCAATTTTTGGGACACGTAGTTTCGGCTGGAGGTATCTTGGTGGATCCAACTAAAGTGCGAGCGGTATTGGAATGGGAGAGTCCGCGTTCGGTCATTGAAGTCCAAAGTTTCGTGGGGTTGGCGGGTTACTATAGACTTTTCATTAAAGGATTTTCTAAGATAGTAGCGCCATTAACACAGCTGACCCGAAAGGATCACCCGTTCGCTTAGACTGATCAGTGTGAAGAAAGCTTCCCAGAATTGAAGAAGAAGTTGACGAGCGCTCCAGTCTTGGTTATTCCAGACATGGCCAAACCGTTCGAAGTATACTGTGATACTTCTCATCAAGGTTTTGGCTGTGTGCTTATGCAAGAGAGGGGAGCAGTCGCGTACGCTTCTCGACAACTGAAGATACATGAGAAGAACTACCCAACGCACGACTTGGAGTTGGCAGCAATGGTCTTCGCGTTGAAGATTTGGAGGCACTACTTATACGGATGTACATTCCAAGTCTTCAGTGATCACAAGAGTCTCAAGTACCTCTTTGATCAGAAGGAGTTGAATATGAGGCAAAGGAGGTGGCTTGAGTTCTTGAAGGACTATGACTTTGAACTACTCTACCATATAGGGAAGGCGAACGTTGTAGTGGACGCCTTGAGTAGGAAAGTAGTTCATGTCTCGGCAATGATGGTCAAAGAGCTGAGTTTGGTGGAAAGTTTTAGAGACTTAAAGTTGCAGTTCGATTTAGAACCAAATAGTATTATATGTTGTAACCTTAAAGTATCCAGTGATATCTTTGACCGAATCAAAGAGAAACAATCAGTTGATGAAGAACTGCAGAAGATTTTGAGCGCGCTCGGCACAGACCAAGCCAAGTACTTCAACACCGGAACGGATGGTCTCCTTCAATACAGAGACAGGACGTGCTTTCCAAACGATGACGAACTGAAGAGGATCATTCTTGAAGAAGGACATCAAAGTTGTCTTAGCATGAATCCTGGCATGACTAAGATGTATCAAGACCTCAGGAAGTCTTTCTGGTGGCCAGAAATGAAGAGTGATGTCGCTCGTTTTGTGGCATCATGTCTGACTTGTCAATGAGCTAAGACAGAGCATCAGAGACCGGACGGTCTACTTCAGCAACTTGAGATTCCTGAATGGAAGTGGGACAACATTTGCATGGACTTCATAACCCACTTACCCCGAACGGTCAAGAATCACGACTCCATTTGGGTGATAGTGGATCGACTAACGAAGAGCGCACACTTCTTAGTTGTCAACCTGAAGATGTCCATGACGAAGCTTGCACAACTCTACATTCGGTATTAAGTGTCTTTAAAAATCCTTGAACAAAGATGACATTAAGATGATGGATAATGAAAGATGAAGAGAATATGATATGAATGAAATGTATGGATTATGAAAGAGCGTTCTGGGGAGGAACGACTCATGAATGAATATTGGAATTTGTAAAGTATGAATGTGGTTATGCTAAGCTGGCGGTTCATCCTGATGTTTCGTGAGTACTCGTCCTCACGTAGAGGGGGTAGGTCATGTGTGGGAACGGCAGGAGCTCCTAGTCCTTAGGGTTACTTTGGAAAGATAGAACTAACCTCGGGTGGCAGCTGTTGAGGGTATCCCAGTTACTACATCACCCGGGTGCACGAACGTTGTAGCTACACAGATTTCATACAGTCCGGACAGTCAGTCTAGTATTAGGCTTTGTATGAAATGTATGACGAAATTTATCTTGTGTGTTGATGGTATGAATTGTATGATTATATCTGAATTAAATTACATAAGCTTACCCTGTGTTCCTGTCTTGTTGTGTTTTGTACGTTCGTCTTGTCATTGCAATGATCATCCGTGTGGATGTGAGCAGAAGGAGACGAACTGTTGGAAGATGCGCTAGAAGAAGAGAACCTGATCGAGGTAGAAGTGAAGACCGAAGAGTAGGACGTTCGGTCAGTAGTCTAGTTATTGTAAGGTGGTCGTTCGATCACTTCCCTTTTTGTTATGTATGATCGTTCGGTATTTTATTTTGTAAACCGTTCGGCCAGATTTGCTTATCCTATATAGTTATGGTAATTCTTTTTGTAAGGTCGTTCGAACGTAAGTGTACGTTCGGCTTTTAGTGTAAAGACTGATCTGAATTATTAATTAATGTGATTATTCTATTA